CATGGAAGACGAAACCAGGGCCTCTCCATCTTCCATCCACTATCCCATAGGCCCTTCATCTCTCACATGAGCCCTTTGCTCCATGTCCATATAATGAGCGTGCTCTCGGGTCTCTCAAATTTCAATCCATCGAGCCCTCTCTCCATCCAGAAAAAATCCAGTCCTTTCCAGGTGGTTGTGGCGGCTATGTGGCAATCGCCTCTCTCCTGCTTCGGAACGATCGCCGGTCTGCCTCGGCTCCGGCCTCACACCACCGTCGTCCAGCAAAAGAAAAATACACTCAGCCATGAAACCAACGAGAACATGCGAGAGAAGGGGGGGGAGGGGAGGAGAGGATCTGGGTCGGGATCCCAGGCGATGCCGATGGCGAGGAGATCTTCGGGGCGCGGCGGCGGCGGGCCGGGGGTGGAGGTCACGATGGTGATGGAGCTGGCGGCGGCGGAAGACAACGTAATCATCATCAACCGCCCCGACCAAGCTGGCCTCGGCTGCAACCTCTACATCAACATCTCGAGTTCGACCTTCGCATCTCCCGCACCGGTGATCCCCTTCACATCCTGTCCGGAAGTTACATAAGTTACTGTATTACCTATGTTCCCGCTGCACCATTCTCGCGTCTCTGAAGTTACTGTATGCACGTTGTTAATCAGTAGCAGCGGTTCAATCATAAGCATAAACAAAAACTGGCAAGATGTTGTAACCTGTTCTACAGAAACCTTGTCCTGTTGCTGATGGACTCCTCCGACTCTGGCTGCTGGTCCAGTTGCCTTCGACAGCTCTCCCGCACCTTGGTTCGCTCTCGCCCGGACAACCGACCCGGGTCTCCTTTCGGCCACAGAGGAACAACCTGGTAGCGAATATTATTAGGAGTCCTTTTGCTTCAAGACCTGAACAGACCAACAATTGCAAGGGCTTCAATCTGATGTGTTGTACCACACGGTATTCCTCTACCTGCGTATTCCCACGAATCCTATTTCTTCCATACATATGTGCCTTTCAGGATTCGCTTCTACTATTTTTGTTATGTTTAGCCTTCTGCCATCTAATGCATGGCGTGTTAATCCTTCTTTATATCTTGCAGCAATCAATAATGCATGTTACATCGGTTGGTTTTTTCAGTTACATTTATGCGGAAACTATCTGATTGAGTTTAGCTGATGGCTACAAAATGTGGGATTATTTCTGACAGTAGGGTGCTTCAATATCTGCATCTTACAATTTGTTGCAATGCTAATGGCTACATGACGTGCCATTATTTCTGTATCTCTTTGTTCCAACTGTTCCAGTGTAATGTGATGATGGATTAAATATAGTACGGTACAATAGCTTGGCATGGAAAAATGAACAGGTAGCTTTTTCAGTCCGAGACAACTACCCTCTTTGGTGATTTAGAGTTATAAATTTTATATATTTCTCTATTGTTCCTATGAAGAGTAGATGATGACGCTGTTCCAAACAACAAAATAAAAGAAGCAGGCATTAGCTTTTGTTCTGCCCAGGTTAAATTTTGAACCAGGATTGACTTTATCCTACATTAACAATTCCTCCCTGTTTTAGTTAGTGCAATTCCAAGTTAGTTATTCCAGGAATATCTGCATGGATTATACTCTATACCATCTCAGAATCTTTATTCATAAGAAATAGTGTGAAGCTAGCAACTTAGGCTAAGGTGTGAAAAGATTGTCTAATTTACCTACTCTACTGGTGCTGGATCACGCTTTTAAAAAATGGTACACCATTATTGCATTTGTACTTCAAACTCAAAATTTTACAGAGGCAAAGCACTGCGTTCTTGGCAAGAGATTACCCTTTTAACTCTTGCTCTATTACTCGATATATGTTCATGTATTTATCTGAGAGTTCTTTAGAAATATACTAGTAAGCTTGCACGTGCAACACACGTCTTAATTGCCACAAAATAATTATGAAAATAGTTGTCTAGTTTTACATAGTTTTTTTATCTACACATGTTTCTTCTTTTTGTGAATTTTTTTAATCTACACATGTTTCTTCTTTTTGCGAAAATTATCTACACATGTTTCACTAAATAATAGTGTTTTTAGTAGAAGAAAAAACTAATTCACAAGGACAAATGAAGAAGGTGCAAATAATATTAAAGATTAATAAATGTATGTAACAAGTGACCGTATGTCCAAGTCTACAGTTTGCGTGTCTGATTGAAGTCAATCAAAAGTATATAACACATGTATACTAAAGAGGAAATGGTATAAAAATATAAAATTATCTTGTAGTACGATAATATTTCATACACCACAATATGCTTCTTTTTTATCATTATTACCATAAAGAAAAATCAGTAAAAGGATACGACAATGACACTCAATGCCATTCATAATAGACTCATAGTAAATTCTCAAAAAAAAAATCATAGTAATCATATCGTTCAGTGCACGTATTGACTGATATAGCTAAAGCTAAGAGTATTTAAAGCAAGAAAAAATTAGGACATAGAATGGTTTCACTTTGTTGCTTTCCATTGGACGGCCAAAAGGGCATGGCCTTACTCCTTTGACGTGCATCTTTGATGGCCTTACAAAATGTTCTTAACAGAAAAATGTTCCCATTCAAATAAAAATAAAGAATGTCACATGTTCCCTATTTAAACAAGAATAACACATGTTCTTTGCTAGAAATCATGCGTGCAATGTTGGCCAAAAGTATAGTATGAGCAATACCATCAACAAGTACGAGGGGATAAAGAGTGAGCAAACCAAATACATAATAATGTGAATTGCAAGTGGTAACTGTCTCCAGTAAGTTTGAATTGTAATTGGTAATACTCTCTGCAACATGTCCTCTGGCACCTTGCAATAGAAAATATGGCATGTATATTCACATTCATATGAAAAGCTATGGAAACTGAAAACACACCAAAATAATGCACAATCTGGATGTATTGGTTTTTGTTTTCACATTTTGCTTCCCAGCACAAGTACCAGACAGGAAGATTCAGATACATGCAAAACGGCTTCTGTGTGCACATATGCCTTGAATGGTAAAAAAAAATATAGACCTGATTCCTAGAAAGGAAGAACGCAGTGAGGACACAAATAAAAATGAATGTTGAGAATAGAAACAAATATAAGAATAGGCTTTCAGCGAAAGTTGTATTCTTGTAGAAATTTTGCTGAGCATTAGATAGTCCATCACTATAGTAAATGTGGACATAAAGTGCAAGCCATAGAAGATACATTGTGCTGGTCGGGTTGTGATCAATCAAATCACCGAATCAAAAAATATATCAGCCTGTGAACACTGCCTGTTACAGCTTGGCAGGCACAGATGCACAACTTTCTACCAGTATTTGCAAAGGTGCACTCGCAAAAGGTCAACAACTGTTTTTGATCAGGTGTACTAAAAAACACTTAATAATTTAGCTGCTCTAGTTGCATAGATATCAACAATATGGAATAAAAGGAGTCTAGAATTTCAACAAATGATACAAAGCATTTGGGAGAATGCAAGCCACTGACTCTTGTTATGAGTCAAGAAATTTAGCTGATCATTTTTTCTTGTCGTGGACTGGGATGTTGCATTCTCGGAACACTGGCATGTTTTCTATTTGTTTTCAGATATTATATATACCCTATCAACTCAAACTCGATTTTGCATTTTTTTAATTCAAATTGTTTTTATCTGAGTTGCAGAAGAGTGATTGACATGTTGTCAAGCAATATGACCAAAGTTCCTTTGAGCAATCGTCATAACACACTCCACTTGTGTTCCAACTTCCAAGTAATTCCAAATGTTACCTCCAGTTCAACTCCAATTAAGCTGCAGTTGCATTCTTCCAAGAATGGCTGCATCCACATAAAGAAAAGGCATTAGAAAGATTGGATCACTGACTTGTATAAAATAGATCTACACGCTTTGATGTATGCTGTTATGTGAGGAACATAAACCTGAATGGAAAATTGGAGAAACAATAGTAAAAAATAGTTCCAGTCAAAGGTCCACTTCTCATCCCATTGAGCAGATTTCAATAAAAAGTAATGGAAACATTAAAAAAAAGAGAATTAGAAACATAAAGTAGAAATTCACCTGCTCAACACTATGCATGAAATATTTGTTAAGAATACGGCGCATGAAATATTTGTTAGGAATATGCATAAGCTAAACCAATGCCAAATTCTACCATGTGGCATGGACTATGGTGTCGCGCAACACTTTCAACTTTGATGTGAGGATAATACTGACCTAGAAACTGTAGGATGAAGTTTAGCCATTGGATAGAGAATGGATCCAAATATCAATGGAAATGCTGCTCCAATCGGAATCTCGGCCAGCATCTTAGAAGAGAGATATGGTCCTAGTGCATAGGAACCCTTTGCACGTTCCTGTCAACTATAGCTCGTTCTTTCGGGAAAACCCCCACCGTCTTTGTCAGAGCAGCCATTGCTGTGTTTATGGCAGCCACCTAACTCATGAAATGAAAGAAAACAGACAGTTATAAGATATGAGGAGGTGCTCAGGCATTTTTTAGAGAAACTGTTCTTTAAGAAAAAATGGGAACAGTTATAAGATAAATCAAATATCAGAATGTGTTTGTTCCATAGATTCAAGACATTCTACCTGAAGAAGTCCCATCCTATCTTGTATGGAAGTTTGAGTTTTCCCCATTCGCCAGAACACTGATCCAAATATAATTGTTGAAGTAACATACATTCTTGCTCTCACTTTGTTTGTTGGTCCATCACAAAAAGCCTGAAATACTTCTCAGAATCAACTAATAGATAGTCAATCTTCAGGTAAACAACCATTTAGATTTCAGGCAGCTAAGCTCAGGTAAATTACTTGGTTTACTTACACATTTCATGCAGTAGTTACATGTTGCAGCTACATCAGCCACAGAGTTGGTGAAAGCACAACATGCCACCAAGTGTCAACTTACAGTAAATATTGAAAAGATAGATCCCCTGAATTTGCTACAGTATAGGTCCGGTTTATTTTAAGCTAAACACACACGCCAAAATAACCTATCAACGAATTTCAAGGCAGAAGTAGGAAAAAAGCTGGAAGACACTATCAGACAAGGCTCCGTGAAAAACATGCATCCATGCTCTCTTGAATATCAAACGAAATTGTCTCCACCAACCACGTCTTTGCTTGCTAGTGGACTTCTGAGCAGGTTTGGTAGAAAATTCAGAGCCCTCCGACTGTGTTACTGGACTGTTAAATTCAGTAATTAGAACCTTATTTGCAAAATCATCAATTAGGTTCTCAATCCTTTTATGTGATGACTGTACACTTTCAGCTGAGCTATAATCAGTGGAAATGAGATCAGCCAAGAACTCAGCGGGGTTCTCATGACCTGGGCATTGGTACCTAATGAAGTAAACAAACTCAAGTTAGTAATCAGTAATAGTACAAGTGCAGAATAAGATATGGGCTGAAAACAAAGCAGTTAAAATAGGCCTGAGTTATGTTCCACGGAGTAAACAGCTAAAAATAACTGTGCAAAAATTCCAGCATCGTGAATGTTCGATTTCAGGGCTCTCCTAACAAGGATACATATAGTCAAATGATAAATTACTTAAGCTTGAAGCAAGTGTGAAAAATCAGACGTACAATACAACCTGAACTGCTGAAAACATGAAGGACCAATGTATGTCTATGGATGGAGTACTTCCCTGTATGCCTACTTATGTAACAATTGCTTCAGTACCGTGTTGGCCACATGAATAATACTAAAATGTTGACACATCACCATATCCATCATCCATGTGTATAACAATCGATCGTGACATGCTACAGTGTCAAATACAAAATGACTGAGATGTGTTACCAAAATCCAATCTATGCCTGGTATTACTTAGCCCTGCTAACTATATTATAAATTAAATAAGTGCAGTACATACATTTGAGATATGTGGAAATCATGTAAAATATTATGTTTTAGAGAACACCAAATGACAGATAGGAATGTAAGTGATGACAGAATAACAACCCTAATGACGCAAAGTATTTTAGAGGTTCTTCTTTTGCCGGCCCCATATATACAACTTCTCCCTCTGAGAGTAGCACAATGTCATCACATTTGCTATAGACTGAGCCTCTCGGCTGGTGTATAGAGCATATGACCGTGTGCCCATCTTCTGCAAGCTGTCTAAGGGTCTCCATCACCTTCTCTGACTGGAATGCATCAAGGCCTAAAAGAGAGTAACAAACATACACAAAGTTCATGTGCTATCAGTTCATATTTTACAGCTGGCATACCAAGCTATTAAAAAGAACTCTAGCTAATATTCAGGAGAGGGTCTCAGGAGAAAAGGCTAATCCATGTGAAAGTTCAACAATTCAACAAGGGATCCCACCTAAAAACGGAAAGTTGCAAGAACAGTGTGTCTCATTTTTCTTCACGGGACTGTGGGTGATACTTTGGTGGATTGTCTTGCTTGAGAAACAAACTCGAGAATTAAATTGATAAAATGATGGTTAACATAAAACGTAGACAACTGCAGTTGTGAGGTAATCAGGAAAAGATGCAAGCAGGTCACATACCAGGCCAGTGACTGTAGACAACCTCCCAGGCTTATTGGCCTATCTGTTTTCCTCACAAGATCCACATAATCACTTCACTGAGCCAAGAAATGGGATCACTTAGTGATAGTTAAACATGATTTCCTGATCATCAGCTCACTTGTTAGGTTCAAAATATATATAAAGATGGTTATTAGATCAGCATGCCTTGTTTCTTGCAATATTGGTGGCAGATGGAGGCTGATACTTGTGATGTGCAGTTAAATGATTTAATCATTTAAGGGAGATTTGATTTGATGCCTCTGACTGACTATATCAGGCAATGGATACTGAATAATCGCATCATACTTTGAGATAGCAGTAAGGTTAATACTTTAGCTTATTTACCAAATTACATTACTTGCAAAATATTTACCTATTTACAACAGGAAATCGTATATGTATCAGTATTGATGGAGCTAACATTAAACAGTATAATCAACATGTCTAGCTCAGAGCCCTCTTCCTATCATTCCATGATATACATGCTTTTATCCTGAAGTTTGCATCTACTTCGCTATGTCTATTCAGATCAACTTAAGGTTCTGGGAGTAATCAATAGTAAAGTTGGCGGTGTAGAAAAACCAGGATCATATGTATACGTTCAATTTCAGACCACAACATGGCCTACAAGGAGGGAATTAGCTAGGCAACGGAAGAAGCCTGAAAGGTAATCTTGATTAATTCTAAAATAGCAAACCATGATGGATGCCGGTGAGCTGCCTAAACGAACATAAACATTGTTCATCACAAAAATTCAGAAATTTGTCATTCACTAATGGAGCACACACATGCCAGGGATGTTAAAGAAATGGGGAACATCGTACATCATTAGAAATATTCATGCAATATTGAGAAGCTCAATTATTAAATGGTGCAAACAAAGTAAGCAGAATCTCAAGTAAATATGAATATGTGACGAAAAGGACCTTAGATGTTGCAGATGTTGATGAGTGGCAATATTCTGTACCTGTAGAAATAAAGTATGCGTAGTTAGGGAGGAAGAGGAAACTGAATTTTTTTTCATTCTGTCAAAATTATATATTTTAAAATGTCATTCAGTTTTGCCGCATATGGTTTTTATGTAAACTTTTGAATGTTGAAACATATGTTTCATGAATCTTGAAACATATTAGCTTGCACAATTTTTTTTAAAAAAGTACTAAATTATTTTCCCGTATAAAATTTAAGAAAGCGATAGCAGCAGACTGGTTAAGAGTAGAGGCTTCAGAAGATGTTGCAGAGGTGTGGAAGAAGGTAATACTCAAAAATAGAATTTTTTAGGTCAAATCAAGTTGCATCTCTAACTGGAGATGAAAGGTTTAATGTCATGAGTGTACCAAGCAGAGAGCATCTATTTTGCAAGCAGAGAGGCTGCAGGGTGCCTTTTATGCATTCAACAGAAGGACTAAGTAGATGCATCCTTTTTCACCTCCTATATTCACCATCCGCCTCTCCCATTTCCTCTCTCCACTGCCTCCTCTCAACCCATCCCGGTAAGCCCCACCTTCGCCTCGTCGATGCATACGGCCTTTGCATCACGGTGCGCAAACCTTCATGATCTAAATAGATCTACCTTTCATGTCAATATATAATGCTTGCTCACAGCCCATGACTCAATCTCTTGAAACAACAAAACACGTGGGTTTTAAAAAAAATTAATTGAAACTACAATGTGGTATTTTTTAACTCAAACTACAATGTGCAGATTATATATTTAGATTATTTAGATTATATATTTGAGTAGTTGTGACAAAACAAAACATCGCTGCCGATACTATTGTGGATAACCCAATATAGCAAAACTTTGGCCTCCTTTCCTGTAGTTAGGCAACTTCAGGAGCATAGCAACACAATGGGATGGGAAGGTAAGCAACAAAACTTCAAATGTCTGAGTTGCTTGGACTACAATTTATGAAATCCTCACTAATTCAATATGTCCTCATAAACTGTAACCCTTTTAGCGCTGAGTGTGGCATTGGCGTTGGATCATGATAATTCACATACGGCAATTGTTCCAGAATAATTGTTCCTGTTGTGTGGAAGAATCATGTATGTATGCACTAAAATAATCATAACCAGAAGGATCATGTATGTATCAGATTATCTTGTGTGGAAAGAACAGAACCACAAGCATGTTGTTCAAACAATGCACACTTGAATGTAAAGAAAACTTACTGGCTCAGATGAGATCGTTGGCGGCAGAGGAGGAGCAGAGGAAGGCGGGCGGCGGAGAATAGGATCGGTGGGCGGAGGGCGAGGATGTACAGACTGAAGCGAAAAACGATGCAGATGAAGGAAAGATTCACCAGGTTGAACAAGCCTTGGAGTGGTCAGTACAAAACTGGAGCCTGACGATTGCTATGTATGTATCTAGCCTCTACAATTTTCATGAATAGAGACAAAGTTCAGAAGATGTTGGTACAGAGCAAAAACACAGAGTTGAGATGAGCAAACAGTGTTGTGTGTCACGCATCCAAGCAAGCATGCATCTAAAAATTTCAGTTTTCTCACACCCACCAAGTACTAATAAATTGAATGAAGTTGTATGTAGATTCGCAGAAATCCCTCCCTGCTGTGACCTGACCTGCGTGCATCTGTTGTCTCAAGAGCAGAGCATCGGTGGTCTTCCGTTCCGTTGCAGGTGCTGCACCTGCGTGCATCTGCATCAGGGAGGGAGGGTGTGAGTGAGGGGAGCCGTCAAATCCAAAACAATCAAGTCCAGTTGGGAGAGGAGAAGAGGGACCTTGACGACATCCAGGCATTCCATGGCGGCTGCAAACGGCAGCGGAGGCTTGGCCGTGGAGCGGCGGCGGAGGCTTGACCGTGGATGGGCGGGCGGCGGCCGGCGGCGAAGGCCCGACCATGCTCTGGTCGTTGGGAGGAGGAGGTGCGGGGTGTGGGAAAGGTCGTCGTGTGGGGGTTCGTGCGTGCGTGCGGTGGGCAAAGGTCGTGGTGCGGTGGGTTTTTTGGGAACGGGTTAATACAATGACATTGGTGGGTAATTAAAGTATAAAATGTGTTTGATGTTTTAGAGGAATTAGTAAACGTGCACATGCAACGTACATATTCATTAACACATAAATTGTACTCATTTATATGCAATAAGGGCATATACACATAAAAGTATACGAGTGGCCAAGTATAAATCGACTGGAAATTTAAACTGGGCAATCGATTCTTCCCGGCCATCCGATGCAAAATGAACAACACGATCCCTTGTTAAACCTCGGGACTTTCTTCTACCTCGGACAGTTTCTTCCCTCAGCCATCCCACGGACCACCGGCCAGACCGCCAACCACCACCGCCCGGCCCTCCCTGGAACCTCCTCCCACCGCCGTGTCGCCACCGCCCCTGGCCATCCCTCTTCCCCCGGGCCTCGTCTGTTTTTTCCCCGGGAATCTTCATCATTGTCGTGCTGCCGCCCCCACTACTGTCGTGCTGCCTCCCCCACCCCTACCCTAAGATAGATGATGAGGTAGCTTGCGGTGAGCTTCTTTCTCCCCTCCGATGAGCTTCCTCCTCTTCGCCTGTTTCTCCCTTCAACCAAAATCGACTGGCTCGAATTCGAAAGTCAGGCGACTGACATGCATCTATTGTGTAAATATATATACCTCGTGCACATCAGACATCATTTTTACCGTTAAAAAAATATATGGAAGCGGAAATATCATTCAATTCATCTATTGGTAAAAAAAACTAAATTGGACAACACCAGATGCTATATCTGACTTGACCAAAAAAGGCTAAAAAACCAACTAAAAAAAGAGAAGGTAAAAGAAAAAGACACACCGGACGCCCCCTCTCAGTTCTCGCCTCGTCACCTACCTTCCCTTATCCCTTCACTGTCTCCCCACTGCTCCTTATTCCATGGTGGCCACAAGCCCACAACTCTCTCACTCTCTCCTCAAGCCGCCCCTCCTGTTCGTCCCCACCGCCGGCGCGAGGTCTCGCACTCTTCCCACTCTTCTCAGCCCCTCCTCTTCGAATCGGTCGCCGAAGTGCCCGAGGATCCGCTCGAGCTCGGTATGGTCGCTGGGCGCCGGACGAAGGCCGACGCGGAGGCGCGGGACTTGCCTCCACCAGATCGGCGGCTGTGGCAATCATGTGTCGCAACCTCCGCGGCTGGTGCCTTCCTTTCCATCTCGCTCGTCGGCGGCTCCCACCACCCTGTGCGTGCGACTGCGCTGCGCCGTGCAATGCCCATGTGCGGCAGCAGTGCCGCGGTGACTGGTCCCCTGCAAGTGCAAGCCGGTGCCGGTAGACGATCTATTCCCCACTTCGGCTTTCATATATGCTTATTTCTGATTTGAGATACTCGCCATTACCCACTTCTGCTAATCCTTAATTTCTACCCATTCCTGAATATACATAGGTAGCTCAGTAGTCTAGTTTAAGCATGAGAGTCATTTTAGAATTAGGGAGAAAAATTAGAAGTTGTTCGATTAGACGTTCTTAACTTGGTTGCAGCAACTGTTATGAGTGGGGATTTTAGTTAGTTAATATTATTGAGGCAACCATGCTGCAATAAAGTTGATTGATAGGTAGATTTGAAATCTGGGTGGCTAGGGGCGCTAGGGACCAAGACGGATGAGGTTGATTTGGCTTCATCCTGCCAAAGAAAGTTACTTCTTTTTTGAAAAGTGAAAGCATGTTTTTAGAA